ATCATGTCAGCTAACGTTAGCACTAACCTTTTTAACGCTAGCCTCGCTCTCTCTTCGGGCTCCGACTAGTTTATGGAATCGCTAACACTTTACTTAAAACTGCTATCTTCGGACATAACGTAAGTCTCACGTGTTACCTGAACAAATACACGTATACAGCGGTACCTTCGCTACACGAAAAACTTTGCTAAATTATGGAATTTTTACTTTTTTGCGTTCACCAATATGACAGCTGTTTCTCAGCAAGTAGACCTCCCCCGCTCCGGGAGCTAACGGCTATTCTCCGTATTAATATCGCTGCTTTTGTGCCAATTTCTCAACCTAAAGCAATCCACGATCATTTGTTAAATACATCACAAGCCTCACCGTGCTCTCAATAAAGTAATTCAGATCCTCATCTCTTTTTGTTTCTCGGAACAAACTTGACGAAATGGAAGGGTTGCCGTGCCTTCAATTCAGTTTGATTTTCAAAATAAAATGGCGACTGTCACCGCCGCGGCGCGCTCACGGTTCGAGAGAGACGAGTGCGTGAACTTATTCGCGCGACACACACCTGAAACCGCCACATATTCAGTCAGTATTTTATTCATTTAAAACGATAAAAGAGAAGAAGTTATATACGACAAACAATGAAACTGGCGATATTAAAAATATCTAAATAAAAAGGTTTGCTGTGCAGATTTTTTCCCCCTAAACCGGGAAGGAATACATTTTAAAGGGACCTGCGCAAATTTCACACGTGAAGGTGAGCAGGCTGGTGCTCTGCAGCCTGTGCTTTCTGTTTCTTTTGTAATGATGAAAATGATGTCACTGGGGTTGTAAATTCAGGGACATGGCAGACGATTTGGGTTTCATTAGGTTGTAAATAAAAAAGGATCCCACCTATAGCCTGCAGGGTTGGCCAGATACCAACAAGGTTGGTCTGACTACAGGCAGGCGGAAAGGCAGTTTGGTGTCAGCGTCAATGTCAAGAAAATAAATGAGATATAGATTTCAGGTGGCACAGAAAGTGGGGAAGCAGGTGTGAAAATGGTCTCCAGCAAGGATTTTACCTGGAGCCAAAACACTTCCTTCCTTCCTTCTGCAGATGTGTGGTTCGTGCATCACTATGTGGTGTGGCGGCTGCTCTGTGACAGGGAAGAAGACTCTACTGAGGGTGATGAAAGCTGCACAGAGGATTGTTGCCAGCAGCTTCACCACCACCACGGACATCTACATCAGCAGATGCAGGAAAAGGACCTGCTGTATCTTGAAAGAGCCTATAGTCACCCAGGACACACACTATTATTGTCCCCCTCCCCTCAGGCAGGAGCATCAAGAGTAGAGTTCCCAGACTAAGAGACAGTTAACACGGTTGAACTTTGGTGGTGCTTTCTATCATCTGCTACTCCCAACCAAAAGCAACAGATATGAGCAATCACCTGTCTTTGTGCTATTTGCTGCACATGTTGTAAACATGTTCAGTTCCTTGGTTCTGCAAATATTCCTCTTGTGTTCACATTGTTGTTGATCAGTACAGGTGTTGGAATGACAATAAAAATCCTTGAATCAATCCTCAAAGTTTGGATAGCGTTAGTTATCTAACTATCCAATAACATAAATAGAATTATATTGAAAATATTAAAAAGATAAAATCAGTTTTTATTCATAGCTTGGTATTCTTAAGGTGAAATCTTACCAAGTCTTGACATAATACAACATGTTAGCTGTATAGTTGTCCAGAAATGGTAAATGGCCTGTATTTATATAGCGCTTTACTAGTCCCTAAGGACCCCAAAGCGCTTTACATATCCAGTCATCCACACATCCACACACTGGTGATGGCAGCTACATTGTAGCCACAGCTGCCCTGGGGCGCACTGACAGAGGCGAGGCTGCCGGACACTGGCGCCACCGGGCCCTCTGACCACCACTAGTAGGCAACGGGTGAAGTGTCTCGCCCAAGGACAAAATGACCGAGTTGGTCCAAGCCGGGGCTCGAACCGGCAACCTTCCGATTACAAGACGAGCTGCCAACTCTTGAGCCACGATCGCCCACAGAAACATCTTTGGGTGCTCCCATCTTGACTGACAGGTATTGTTTCCTTCATCAAAACCAACATTCATTCGACTGCCAAGTATTCAACATCTTTTTTTTTTTATCGAGTCCTTGTTTTTTTGTCTAGAGTTTCACATTTTGTTGAACACAATGAATTTGAATTCATGTTTTGAAACACACTTGCTCGGGGACTCAGAGATGCTTTCTTTCTAGGAGATAAAGGAGGACAATAAATCCCTTAATGAGCAGTTTTAAGATCAACACAGGAAGGAAGTAGGGGGGGAAAAGCTTGAAGGAAAACACAAGCTTCTAATAAATCATCAGTAAATATAGGGCTTCATACTAAAGCTCATGTGGTAACCCTGGAAGTCCTTCTGAAAAAGAAAATGGTTGAAAAAGAGGGGGGGCAATAAGGACAAAAGCTTCAAAGTGGAGATGCAGTGGAAATTAAGAAGGCTCTGCTCTGTGACAAACAGTTTAAACAACAGGAGGCGTGCCAGGAAAAGAAAAACACGGGTGAACTCTGAGTCAAGTCACGATAGCACACTTAAAATAATAGTTGATTCTCATGCCATCATGAAGACATATCTTCATTAAGGTAACTAAAACATACGTATGTATGTTATTAGAAAAGGTCATAGATAGACTTTTCCCCGTGCTGAATAACAGCAAATTTGAAAACAAAATTGGCCAAGAGACACGTGCCAAGGACTGATGGACTTTGATACAATTGCCAAGGGTAATTTTTAAAATGTTGAACCTCATTGAACCATCAGTTACTGATGATATGTCCTCAAATCGAGATTTGGAGATGAACGGAATATAATGTGATCATTGTACTGACGTGTGCAGCTGTCTCAAGGTATCTTGAGGGCTGCATTGTCAGTCGTAACCTATATTAACCTTTCCAGAAACAGGCAACGTGGGACTATACACACCCAAGTCAGCTGCACAACTCATTGCAGCTGATTTGGAGTCTCCTGGGACGGTACTGTCAGATACACCCTGGATAATAGTTTCAGGATATGGAAACAGAAGAATATGGAGATCCAACCTGGTTCAGTTCAATTCGCTTTTATTTATACAGTGCCAAATCACACCAACAGTCGCCTCAATTAGGTTTTTTTATTGTAAGGTAGACCCTACAATTATACATACAGAGAAAACCCAACAATCATATGACCCCTATGAGCAAGCACTTTGGTGACAGTGGGAAGGAAAAACTCCCTTTTAACAGGAAGAAACCTTCAACAGAGCCAGGCTCAGGGGGTGGGGGTGGGGCCATCTGCTGTGATTGGTTGGGTTGAGAGAAGGAAGACAGGATAAAGACATGCTGTGGAAGAGAGACAGAGGTTAATAACAAGTATGATTCAATGCAGAGAGAAGAAACACCCAGTGCATCATGGGAATCCCCGGCAGCCTACGTCTATTGCAGCATAACTAAGGGAGGATTCAGGGTCACCTGGTCCAGCCCTAACTATATGCTTTAGCAAAAAGGAAAGTTTGAAGCCTGATCTTGAAAGTAGAGATAGTGTCTGTCTCCCGAATCCAAACTGGAATCTGGTTCCACAGAAGAGGGGCCTGAAAACTGAAGGCTCTGCCTCCCATTCTACTTTTAAATACTCTAGGAACAACAAGTAGGCCTGCAGTGTGAGAGCGAAGTGCTCTAATAGGGTGATATGGTACTACAAGGTCATTAAGATAAGATGGGGCCTGATTATTTAAGACCTTGTATGTGAGGAGCAGGATTTTGAGTTCTGGATTCAACAGGAAGCCAATGAAAGGAAGCCAAAACAGGAGAAATCTGCTCTCTCTTTATCTTCGGTTGTCTTCCTTATCTGTAACCACAGATGGCATGGCCCTCTCCTCCAACCCACAGTACACAGTATGGTCGTCACATCTTTCGAAGCATAACCAAACCCATTAACGTATTTGTTTCTAAGCAATCAAAGCTTTCTCTAAAAGATAAAAAGAACATGCAGGTGTGCTTATGATTCACTGAAGATCAGACAGGCTATTATCTGTAAAGCCACAGGCAGATCATTCACCTGGATTGCTGAGTGTTGATTAAAGTGAAAAATCCTAAAGTGGTATCCTCACAGATGCTTCCAGCTTCCCTCTTAATTAAACCAACCCAGGTATTGGTTTTTTGTTTGTTTTTTTGTGATACTCAGTTTTTACTTTACTGCTGTCACTTGAGTGAACCTGATATGCAAGGTCAGGGTTTGTTTGTGGTCACTGTTTTTTACATGGATAATTTTGAAAAGGAGTACTGCTAAAAAATGTCAGTGAAAGAAAAACTAAACAGGTAATGAAGAGGAGAGGAGGCAAATGAGTGATGTGAGTGACCTGAATGGACAGGATTATAAAGGAGAATATCAGAGAAAATACTCAAACTGAGTTATTTGGACTCAAGTATGTTTGGACATGTACAGTGGGAGGACAGTGCATGCATTTTACAAAGGATGGCGAATACGGAGCTGACAGGCAGGAAGAAAGGAGGAAGACCACAAAGAAAGGAGGACTTGCTGTGAGTTGGTGTGACAGAGATGCATGCTAGTGAGATGGAGGGAGATTATTAATCTGAAGGAGCAGAAGAAAGAAGAAAAACAATCTGACAATAAACAGCAGTGTACAAATGTAAATGCTGTACTGAAATCTGTATTTTTAATTCAACTAATTAATGGAGTTATATGTCATATATTTATTTACTAATATATGTGTTTCACGATTATTATCACTTTCTATTTCATTTTTTTACATCCTTAGTTATTAATTATTTGTCAAGTTTTAAATTTAACACCTACATTTAGTTAATTTGTAGTTTCGTTTCTGCCTGTTTGTTTACAAATCACTTTTAATGTGTAAACAAAGAGCTACAAGCTGCTAGGAGTTTCAAAGGCGCAACCATTAATGTTATTAGAGGGTCGTCCAGCAGGGGGCGATGGTGCACCTACACACTGTGAGAGCAGTAAAGCCAGAAGAAGAGCTCTTCCCCTCCTCGTTCATCACCACAGGCTGTATCTGGTAACATTGGCGGAATAACACCAGGAGAGCGTCTTTTTCTGGGTGTTTTTAAAGCTGCCTTTTGCTGAGGTGAAGTTTAAAGGCAGGCAAAATGTCGTCTTGGGTGAAATCACCTGCGGGTGGTCGGCGGCCATCCGGTAACCCTAACGGAAGGTGAGTTTCCAGGCTAGCGAGGTTAGCATTAGCTGCTAGCTCACAATAATATAGAAACGTGAAACGCTGTCAATTAGCGGCCCTATAAACCGCCACCTGTGCTGTGTAGTGCTCCACAGCCGCGTGTGTTTCGGAGGGCAGCTCCATACCCAACCAGAGAGGAGAGGACCGAAGAGCTCAAGGATGCCCTGGACAGGTACCAGCCTCGGGCAGCCTTTTTGTTGTCGGCAATGGTTTAAAGTGACCAAAGCTTTATTATGAGTGATTTACTGTGCACCTTCACTTCTGTGTGTAGTGCTACACGTCATTCATGGTTTTGTTTTAGATGAAAGAAAATGCACCGTCTTAGTAAATAAAAACTGCATTTAAAGCCTCCAAGTTGCTATAAGTCATATTTAATAGTTCCTTATAGCTGCCCAAGTCTCTTTATGTCAGCACTGGGGAACATCTTACTTCCTTCCCAGCCAGACTTTTCTTTCCTCCCTGAAGGTAAATCATGAAACAAATAATTCTAGGATCTTGTTTACAGGTTTAACTGGTTAGACCAAACTTTGAATGCAGCTCTCCAGTTTGAGTACACTTACAGTTTCAGCTGCCTAGCGAGGTTGTAGACTCATCTTTAACACAGAAATCACTTTTATTTGGGTAAGTTCATAATTGCATGTGCAACAGGCAAAGCAGGTACTGATAGAAGCTTGGTAGTTTGGAATCATAGATGTAAAATGAACTAAAGTTACCTGAACATAAATTTTTAGTGTGTGTTGTAAAACTGTTAGTGCTTAGTTAGAGTATATAAGCTGAAAGCAGCTGTTCTGAGCTCTGTGCAAACTGCACTGACTTTTTTGCGGCCATGTCACCAGACTAGTATAGAAGTAACGTGTTACTGCTGCTTCCTGATGAGAAAAATATTGCACACTGTTCACTGTAGAGCATGTGCTATATGGATGGAAGAATTGGGGCCCACCTTTTATCTTTAAGTGAGGTGTCACAGGTGTGTGCTCCTGGCTGTGGCGTTCCAAACATTTGTGACGGGATGGGTCATTCAAACGAGTACGCTGAATTTGAGCGTCGTACTATAATAGGATACCGTCACTGCAACAGTTTCTTCTCTCCTACATATTCCACAGTCAACTGTAAGATGTGTTTTTGTAAAGTTTAGCAACCAGCCACTCGGTCACGAACGTAAAGTTAGAGAGTGGGGTCACCGACTGCGCTCTGCTGACTCACCAACTCCACATTTCCAAACTTCTCAATGAACATCTGTGCTGACATGCCACTGGAGTTTCAGGGTTTGGGTTCCGGCAGCTGAGCAGCTCCCGTGGGTCTAAAGTGTGGGTGATCCCATACTTTAGTCTCTATTCTGTACTTTGGGACAGAAGACGGATGTAATTTTACTGTCAACTATGACAAAATCAAGTATTTCAACACTTTAGCTGTGAATCCTTTGAAAGTGTGAATGTCAGAATATGCTGACGTAATGTTTTAGTAAGACATCAGGAATACGGTGTTTGCAACAGTCTACTATTGTTTCTGTGTTGTGAGGGGAAAAAGCTGTTTGAGTGAAACTTAAAACTTTGATGCACTGAATGTCGGACGCACAGGCTCCTTCGTGCATTTGCTCTCTGAGTCTCACTTTCAGAAAATCTATTTTTGGACATTTATATGCTCGTCATATTAAGGTGTCGTAGAGGAGGCATAGAAATACCTCCCATATTAAACTGTTATGACACTTTTCACTGCTTTTTTTCAGTTATGAAGAGCTAGAGCAAATCCAAAACTACAGTGGAAGTGTGAAGTACGAGGGCTACAAGCATCAGCCAAATGGTGAGATTTGCTTCTTTGTTTTGTCCGTATGAGCAAAATGGATACTCTTTACACAAGACATGTTTTTAAATACTCTAAAATCTTAATTACACATTGATCCAAAGAAGAAAAGAGTGCAGTAATATTTTTGCCGCTTTTCGAGTCTCTTTCAACGTCACCGTTCTCAAACTTCCAGCCAAACCAGAAGGTGGCACTCCAGCAGACAGACGTAAAACGCTGTATCAGAAGTTCTACAGACAGGTGCAGGAGGAGAGGAAGCCAGCCGACTGCGTGGTTCTCTCTGTTACCAAACAGTGCCTGTGAGTATTTATTCATTGCCAACAGAATTTGCTGGTTTATCCTTTACTATCAGCGTGAGGAGACTGATATCATTCAGTGTTTCCCCACACTCGGGCCGACTCATATTATCTTTTGTTTTTCTATCTTCCTCAGTCTTATATTAAAACCTTAGTTGATGCTAACAACCTTTCCCCGGCTGGTGTTTTCCCTACCGGTTGGCTTGCTGGCCAGGTTACTGTTGTAGTTTTTCTCAGTGTCATTGAGTCAACTGCACCGTCTTGGACTGCAGCTGGCCACAGTAGTCGTCCTCCTGCTTTGGAGCTCTGCTGTGAGCTTTAGGGTCACTTTAATCAGAGCCTGCAGCAGATGGAGGACTGGTTCTTGTGCTGCTGCGCTAAGCTCACAGAGACCGCAGAACAAATGAGTGCTTCCAGCAGCAGCTGCAGACCATGACTGTGGAGTTTTGGTTCTCTGCAGGATGAGACTTATTGGATGAAAGCTGTTTTGATGTGTCAGTAAGTATGAGGCAATGAAAGTGTTAGGAGCAGAAGGACTTATAACTCTGTATCAGATCTTATCCTTTTATTATCACCGTCAGTTTTTTGCTTGCCTTTCTTTACTTTCTTGGTGTGCTGTGCGGGCTGCAAATCGTTTCAGCTACGAGGCTTTGTTCACATTTAACGTGCTGTAACTTCAAATTTGTTCTGGCTACTCAAGTTTAGGTTCTTGTTCCCTTTGGAAAGTCTTTTTGTTGATGTATTAACAGTGTTTCACACGCAGACCCTGTGTGTAAGTGTTCATATAACCACATTTCCAATGCAGATGTCTGCTGTGAAGCTTTGTCACCATGGCAACAAACAAAAAAACAACAAAAACCAAAGTAAAAGCCCACAGGTTTTTTTGCACACGTAGTTTTCTTCCTGTGTTGTGTTGAATGATTGTCTGTTAAATTAGTTGTGATAACTGACAACCACAGACGAAGCAACGTGAACACCAGCAAAAAAACACCTCACTTTGTCACTCACACAAACACATTTACATAAAGTTGGAACAGCTGTTTGTTTTTGGTGTCTTGATCAGTCAGTAACGAAGATTGTATTCATTTATGCACAGTCAAAAAATGTCATGTAGCACATCTTTAAAATTCAGTGTTCAACTACACACTGATTTGCATTGAAGTACATTAACAGATACATACATGTGAAGGTTAAACATTCTTGAATACTCCTTTCACATATCAAATGTGCCACTTGGATCACGTTCTGTTAAAATACTCTTTATTTTATGCTTTTGAAAAACTGCCACAGTTGTAAACCAGTAATCAATCAATCAAACAAACCTTTATTTGTCACATGCAAGTTTGCACCTGCAGTGAAATTGGACCCCCCCCCCACCCCGACCATGACATTCTACACATGGTAAAAGTCTAACAGAGTAGCGGTCAAAGCACACTAAAAAACTTGCACTCCTTATGCTCTGCAAGATTGCAACATCATCAGTCAATTTTCACGCACTTCTACACTAAAAGCAACGATTAATTTGAATCACAAATATGGCCGCTTAGGCTTGATTTAGGCCATACTCCTGTGTTGAATGGCACGGCACCCTATACTGGGTATACAGACGTGTCCAAGAAGACTTGCTGAAGTTCAAACTGAGCATCAGAATCAGAGAGAGTGCCGATTTTAGGGGACACATTTAATGTGGAATGGTTTCCAGCACCTTGTTGAACTTGCAGGGTGTACTTAATAAAGTGTCCTACTAGTATAGTCACAAGGGTGTCAACCACTGGAATTGGTTCAGCACAGGAGTATAACTCAAGCTAACTATGAGACTCAGTTGATACAGATGGACTGGCAGTTATAAAATGCTTATTGATAAGTATAAATTGATGCAGCACTTTATTCGACTTTCTCAGTATCCCAAAGACACTAGGAAATACTAGTATTATAATATTTACGGTACAAACATCTCATTAAGAATAAACCCACAATACAACACTAATCACACCGATGAGAGATTTGAAAATCTGTGTTAGCTTCACATAAAACACTGTTTTTGTTGGGAAAGCACATTTTAAATGAAGGAGTCACCCTTTGCTCCGTCACAGATTTAACTCGGGGTATCTCCTATACGAGGTGAGTCGCTTAATATAGAAATGTCACGTTAACAAAGTGTTTCTCTTCCTCTCAAAGGGATTACCCCAAATCGCTAAGCCAGTGCTTGCAGGAGCGTGGCCTGTCAGTGGAAATGCTCTACCTTCAAGCGGAATCGGGCCTGACCCGGGCCCTACAGGATGTCCGAGCAGAAGGCTCCCCCTTATGTATTCTGGTGGAGCAGACAAACGTAGCTCTGTCCTCCTGCACTGTTATCATATTCTCAGAATCCCTCAAAAGTAAGTTCGTACCCCTCGTATTCCTTCAAACTTACCAAACCATCCCTTTTACTAGGCTCAGTTCAACAGTCTGTAGATTCCACATCTTTAAACACGAGGTCTAAAACAAATTTCTTGTAAAACCAAATAAATTAAAAAGACACACTACCATTTAAAAGACCACTATCTAAAGTTACACAAAGCTACAGTTCTTCAGTCATGCATGCATTTAAAAACTGTGCCGAGTCTATCATATCTACATGTTAATAGCTGGATCTTGGCAAACGATCCTTTGGCTAGCACATGCATATACTTCACACAACAATACATGACAATACATCCCAAAAAAACCAAACCAAAAACTAAAAAACGGTCAATTTATTACAACATGTGTTTCATTTTATGGGTCATCAGTTCTGTCACTAACTGCTATCTTAAACCAAATAACAAACCAGACCAAACCAACAATCAGACTTCTTTGGAAGACGGCACAAAGGCAACGTTGTAGCTACCATTCAGACTATTTGTTAGCTTACACACCAACTTCACTTCATCTTTGATTTTTGTGCGATAACGTGAGTGTTACTCTTAACAAAAACAAATAAACCAAATCTGTATTATTATCAGACGTATGCACGATCTGTGCCAGGTGCCAAACGCAAGACCTGGGCTTGAGGTCAGGTTCAGCTGCATATGAGGTGCAGTCGAGATGTTTAGCAACACAGACCATAAAAGTATTTCTGTGTCACCTCAGTCCTGTGGGAACCAGATGTACCAAGTGTCGCAAAACTACAACGTTTCAGCTGAAACTTCATTTCAGGGAGGACAGAAAATTCTCAGGATGGTGTGAAGTAGGGCTGCCACAAACGATTATTTTGATTGTCGACTAGTCACAGATTAATTTTGTAATTAGTCGACTAATCAGATCATCATCCATTGGACAGAAAACGTACAGCTTATTGCACCAGCAGCATCTGCTCTTATATAACTATCATTAGCTTACAGCTTTAAGTGTTTAAGGTGCTAACTAAAAATAAAGACAAGATGGTAGTTTATTAAATTTTAATGAAATTTGCAGATTGTCTCGGTGAAGTTTAATAAACTCAGTCGTCTGCGCTTTGCTCCCTAAAATATAACGGGACACCGGAGTAAATTCTCGACCATCTCACACTGTTTAATCAATTTTCTGTTTGACGTTTGTTCAGCTGTGTGAAAACCGCCCAGTGGATTAATAAAGTTTTATTTTATCTAATCTAACCGAATCTAATAACTTTAATCTCAGCCAAACCGATTTACTCAGGAACAAATAAAGGTCTGTCATCTCGGTTGTGGGCAAAAGACCTGGAACTGACAAATAAAGGCTATCTCATCTCATCAACAAATAAAAAACACAGAAAAAAGCCAAACAACAACATTTTTAAGTTATCTAAGTGACTCATATATCATGTTTAACCTGAGTAGTGAAAGACGGCGGTGGGTTTGAAAACGATTTGCCGGGAGTCCGGTGTTCTCACGGCTCTAGTTAGCCTAGCCCCCGGCTCGCTATCGAGCTAGTGGGGAACAGACGTCTCCGAAAACGTCGGAGCGCTTTTGAAAATATGCAGTGTCTTGATAAACTGAGCAGATATTTGAGGTTTACACAGCTACATTCTCGCCTGAAAATATGTTAAACGTTTATTTTGTGACCCAGAAAGAATAATAAGAGTAATATTAAAACTAACTAGCTGCCGCCATTGTTGGAAACTGAGCTCTTAAATCCTGCTACTTATTCCTGCGTCTTTCAGGATCTTACAAAGCTTCAAACGACGCGTCGACTATTAAATTAGTCGATTAGTTGATAGTCGACGTAATCGTGACTAGTCGAGTAATCGTGGCAGCCCTAGTGTGAAGATTGTATACAAATCCTTTCACAGTTCCACAGTTTTCTCCTTCGAACTCCTACGGTCGGACTCCTACTGTAGGACTGCATTTTCACATCTGAACCTGGGAAGCAGATTTGCTGTGAATGTCAAAAGGAGACCGTGACCATGCTCCTGATGCCTGTGGTTTCTCAAACTGAGAAATTTTAGGTCGAAGCTGAACAAGCAGCACTTTTTAACAGAGAGAAATCCTCGACTCCAAAGCCTGAGCTGAACTTTGGATCTGCATCAGATCAGATACTGGCTCTAAATATGATCACGAGGAGGAAACTGGCTACATTTAAATCAGTTATGGTTTTATGGACCTTTATGATCTAACCTCGTAACTGTGGGGATTTTCATTTTTATCTTTTGTATCCTCCTGGACGAAGCGTGCGGCTGGTTTTACAGAGGCATGACCCAGGCTCTGGATAAAATCAAACTCAAGTTGTAATAATGTGCAGTTTGCTTTAAATCTGCTTAATATGACATTTTATGCTTTATTAGCACACATACACGACCTAATCTTTATAACACAAATGTTAAACACATTGTTAGGTGAATTCAACCAAAATTAGATCAATTCAACAAACACAATTGTCTGTCCTCAGAAACAAAGCTGAAAAAGCGTCACCATTCATTATATTTAGAATAAAATGTCTGGATGCACATTTAGATAAATTCAGTACTTACTAATCAGGTTGTATTAAAGTTACTGATAATGCACGTATTTGCACAAAATGCATGTCCCTCAGTGCCACACATCCAGCAATCCAACACCACCCCCACCCCCCGAAGCATTACTTACCAAAATACTAATTTAATCAGCTGATCCCAACATTGACATCAAAACGATCTCAGCGCGAGCTGAAAGGGATCTTTTTTTTCACCTCTTTCTCCCACCTCAGCCTCATGACACTTCACCGTTACCGTTCCCTTTCCCTCCTCAGTCCATCGAAACATGCCCAAAGACCAGGCCATGGACTTTGTTCTAGCAGAGTACAACCGTGGACTGGCTAAAGAGCGACCCCCGAGGGACCCGGCAGACATTGCAGCCGAGGCGTCGCAGCTGCTCGATGACTTTCTGGATCGAGAAAAGATCGCGCGCCACACCGTTCCCTCTGAAACACGTCAGCTCCTCGTACTGTTAGGCGAGGGTGTCCATCTGTACCCCGAGGAGTTGGAAACCATCTCGGAGTACGTGCGCTCTCGGCAGGACCACGTACAAGGTGAAACGATTACACAGCAGTACCTACAGAAGCGCTGTTTCAGCTTTGACTTCTTGTATCAGCTTTGCTTTGTCCTTAGGTCATATATCTCTGTTTCACCTGCGTTTTATCTCTTCAGCTTCCAACAGTGAGGGTGAGAAAGGGATCATGTTACCTCCAGGGTTGGGGAAACCACCTCCTCTGCTTCCGACTCCATCTGGGCCACCACAGCCTCAGCCTGCATCTTTAACAGGGGGGCCCATGGGAGACCACGCCTCACCTTCACCTGTACCCCTCTTGCCTTCACCAGGTTTGGGTTTTCCCTCTTTGTGTCTTTTTAAATCTATCAAACCTTTAATGCTGTGGGGCTGTGAAGCATGATGAAAAGTCCTGGTGAGAGTGCTAAAACCTACCACGGCATTGCTAATCATGAACAGCTAGAGGCTGATTTGCTTCTTTTTATTTTTAGTTGCTCATCCCAAAACCAAACCTCCGCCGCTGCTCTCCTTGCATCGTCTTCCTGGTCCGTCGTTAGGGGGCCCAATTGTTCGAGGTCCCCTGTCGTCACACATCCCTTACGGCGGTCCCGGTGTGCCTCGTGGGCCCCTGCTCCACCCTCCTCCTGTGTTCCACCCAGGCCCCAGAGGTCCCACTAGAGGAGCCCCTCCCACTCTAAAGAGTGCTCGCCCTCCACTTCTGTCGTCTCCAGGTTGGTCTTTGGTTTCTTTTGGGGGTTTTTTTCTTTCTTTTCTTAAACTTTTGTCCTAAAGTCGTGTTTTTTGCCTCTTTGTTTTCTCAGGTGCTCCTCTTCTTCGTCAGAGTGTCCCCCGGCATTAGGAAATGAGACGCGCGC